TAAGGACGTTTGCTTAGAATACCTTATAAGTATTATAATTCCACTGGAACGAGAGAATGGTACCATAGAAATCCCACACAGAAAACTCTGGCCATAAAACTTTAAGAAACGACAAACTAGAATAGGAGCACTGCAAACAAATCAATGAGATCAGGACATTAAAACATCAACTGACCAGCTCTGCTGTAAAGTTTTTCATATATCCTCTCCTTGTGTTACCACATAACTCAATGTGTGAAATGAACAATACAGTGGAACCCCGATAATCTGGTGTCCAATGGGCCACAAAAATCTGGCCGTATTAACAGGGTGGCTAAGGGGTTCTTTAAATAAGAAAATAGCTGACCGAACTTTTGTTTGGGCCAAAATAAAGTGGCTGTACATGAGGTGGCTGTATTTATGGCATTGTCATAAGGCAGGGTTCCACTGTACTACAGAAGACAGCATGCAAGCCCTAAAGTGGATGGGACAGAATGTGTAGGAATAAAGGTAATTGAGTCAGTGAGCAGACTTATCTTTAGTAGCAGGGTGCAAAGAAAACAGGGCTTGCCCTTTGGGCAACATCTAACTTTGATGTACTGTAGGGCTATCATTAAGGGCCGTAACCCATAACACATGTTATGACTGAGTATGCTTGATTTTCCCTTGATGCTACATGTGAAATTACCTGTTGTTGGTAGAATTCACTCACAAAGTAACAAATTTGCTATGGGTATGGAGAACAAGGGTACAAGTGACTCAAACCTTAATGACAGCCCTGGTCACTACTAGTCTCAAAAACATTTTCACAAGCCCCCCACCCCCCCACCCCCCTTCTCCCAAGTCTGTCTCTTCCAGTACTTCTGTAATTTGAGTTTCCTCTAAAATTTTCCCAGGAAACATGGCTTGCTCATTGGGCAAGTGAAGAACAGAATTCACTAGCCTAACTAGAAAATCCACCAACCCTGGGCTATCAGACCAGAATTTCTTTGCACACTGAGTAGCTCTTGACTACTGCATGTGATAAAGAACATTATGAACCACGTGCCCAGGCACAACAAACAAAAATTCTCATGACATTATTTATTTAATACAACATCATTGGATTTTTCTTTTCTACTGTTTTACATGTGTATGAGAAAAAGAAAGGAAGTTCAAATGAATTACCTACCTGCCATAACAAGAAATCACTGAATCGCACCTCTCCAGATGTTCTTATTAAAATGTCTGGGGGTGGGGACGGTGATGTGTAGAGACATTTCTCTAGTAGTGACTCACTGACATCACTGTTTGGGAAAAAGAAAAGTTGTTCAAGTAAAATCAATTTCACACTAACTACCGTATTAAATCAACAGAAGATAAATTATAACAAAAATCAGATTTTCTGATCTTATGTCTGAAATTAAAACTGCTCTGTTATAAACAATAATTAATGTATTAATCTATAAATTTATGCAAACATTATCAAAAAGTTTTTTTTCATTAATTCATGCATCACATGTCTCTTAGTTGCTTTCTGTGTATCAGACACTAATTTTTGCTCTCATCATGGTCACGCATTAACCCTTTATCACCCTCACGTCTGGGTCTGGTCTTAGAAAGCATTGTAATGGTTGTGTCCATAGATGTAGCAAAGGCAGTACTCTGACTAACAGTACCACTAGCCAGATCCCTTTTGGCAAAATCCCTGTGCTAAATGTCCAGGGAAAATAAAGTTTGATACCCAGTACTTGCTTCAATGGCTGCATGTAGAAAGACTGGTGAGAGTTACAGCCATGTCAGAGTCTCCTCAAGAAATTTATTTCATTTTCTTACCTTGGTTTTAGTAAGCCAAGTTCGACTCCCTCAGCCATGGATTTTACAGCATTGGATATTTCATGTCTTGATGTATATGCTAGACACACATTTAAAGTTGCTCTGAAAAAAAAATTACATGTAAAGTTGAAGCAACCTTGAACTGACTTTTTCACTTTAATCTACATACGTGTAGCTACCAATAAACTTATCGTATGTAGTCATCTAAAAGATGCCTATTGACAGTCACCCAAAACTTCAACGACCCAGTGTGACCCTCAATCCTTGAGGTTTGAATGTTTCAAATTATATCAAATCTCAAGCCATTAGGGTTACGAGTGTATTTTTCTTACACCTGCATTAGTGTTAGTCCTTATCAATTATATACTGTAAGGTTGTAGCTTTTGCTGCAGCAAACGTGGTAAAAACGCTTTGTATTCCCTTCCACTTTTGCCTCAAGGGGAGAGCTTTAACACATGCAAAAAATTAAAGTTCCATTTTGCATGAGTTTGTTTATATGTCAAGTAATGCATGCGTGACTGTATCTCTCTCTTTCTGCAAGGCTGACCATGCAGAATGTAAATACAGCAGTGCATGAATTAGATTTATTTAATGAACTGTGAACTAAATCAGAGACAAAATTATCATTTCAACATGGTTTCATAATTATGTTCTATTAATATTACTGACACTTGTTAACTTACTTGGTGTTGTTCTGTGAAAACTTTACAACTTTTGCTACTGATCTCTGCAAATCTTCAGGTAACATGGTGAGATCACCAAGAGCTCGCACACAAACTCCATGTTTCTGAATCATTTCTCTGCAAGAAGACAACATACATGTGTCAATACAATGCTCTAAAAATAGTAGGGTTAACAGTCAGATGTCTTTTCTGCTAGCTAGCTAGCTAGCAATGCTGCAGAAGAACTTTAAGAAAGAGTTTGGAATTTTGACGGTATTTAGAATGAGACAACTTGATGATAACTTCAATAGAGCAACCACTAAACCCACAGTGACACTTGATTTCTTCTTAGGATCAAATGGGAGCTAGCAGCAGAAAAATTTAGTTTTTAAATTAAAACTCGCTGTATCCAGTAATTAATAAATAAATATTAAATTAAATTTGATTTGTTACACATGCACACTGCAACTTCAAATCAACAGGCCAAGTCCCCATTTGCCACTTTAAAAACTGCACAAAATTTGGGGCTGGCCTCTTTATGTAGTAGCTTGTGAGACCATTACTGGGGACAAAACAAAAGTTGTGAAGTCATACTGTTCCCAATAACAGTCCCATAAGGAAATTCCTACGGCATGAGACTTGCCCCAGATTTCTTCTTGTTTCTAAAGTGGATAACAGACATTGATTTGTTTTAGATATTGCAATGTAATTCTGGTTTGATGTTGGACTTACTTTTCTTCCATTAATTTGTCAAATTTTTGTTTGGCAAGCTCCATGAGTCCATCAACTTCATCCTGTGAGCGTTTGAAGTTTTCGATACTAAAAGCATAGACTGTGACTTCAGGTATGCCAAGGTCAAAACACCATTCAAGAACCTGTGAAAACATGGAAAACAGTCACGTTGTCTGAGTTACATGTACACATTTAAGAATGTAAACTTTGATTATCAAAGTGTAAATTCTCTTGGCTTGCNGTGGACAGAAATCTCAAATTTTTGTTAACTTCCCACACTGATTTTTGTTTATTTTTGGACAATGTGGAGATAATTGTAAATAACATCTATTTATGGAGAGAAAAGTAGGGGTCACTGAACGTCCAAGATCATTAAATGCAGGCAAAGCTATAGCAATGGCCATCTGCCCTATCATTGTTCATTTTGTTACTTAGTGTGCGCTCTCGTGCATGACGTGGCGTGTGAATTTGCGTGTGCAGTAAGGATGTGCAGAAACAATAATTAGCATGAATATCCTTAAGCTGACCCTCAAACTTCAGATTTAATTTTTTTTTTTTGGCAGGGAGGGGTGGGGGGTGGGTGGGACTGACATCTGTAGACAGAGGCACATCTCCTTACCAACAGTGGCCAATATGATTGACTTGTGTTATACAAGTCTACCATTATGCCTGAATCTGTGTCATGTTATGTTAATGAGTGAGGTTGTCACATGAAAGTGAACTTATGCAGTTTGTAATCTAATACATGACCAGCTGATGCAATCACCAGCTGAAGTATATAATTTTGTGTTAGCTTCAACATGTCAAAATTCCCAACAGAAAGACCTGTCACAAATTTAAAAACATCATTATTGCAGTCATATTAAGCCAAGTCAGAACTTCACATTAATAGAATTTTCAATACTATTACGGCCTTCATTGATGACTTTACAACAAATATTTCTGTGGACGTGTACATGTAACTTGTATCTACACAATTTCACAGCTCACGTCGGAGTTTACAGCAAAGCAAGTAATTATATATAAGCTCAAATGCATCACCTGTTCTGAATATTGTTCGCTATAAAGGAAAAAATATTTTAATGAACTGAAGTGAGCAAAAATTGTGCATGAAGCCACGTACCTCTGTTAGCTTTTCGAACCCCTTCTCGTGTCCTTTCGAACGTTCGCAATTCACTTTCTTGGCGAATCTCCTATTCCCATCCATTATAATCGCTACATGTTGAGGAAGCTGGCCGCACTTGATGACATTATTACAGAAAGACCTCAAATACGAAGTCTTCTTTTGTTCCTTAAACCAGGACATAATATAAATGTATTTCTTTCCCCGATATCGCCCCCAACAAAACTACAGTAATCGTGCCGGCCGGTCACGATTTCAGAAATTCATGCCCTGTGAGCATGCGCGCTCTGTTCTTCATGATTATGCATGATGTCATGACAAAAAGAAAGTCGAAATGCTGTTTGCCGCCATGTCACGCTTTAACCGTTGTTGGTGAAAAGAACGAACATTTTCCTAAACTGAGATGATGGTAGGATCACTTTGGCAAGATAAACGCTCTCTTCACACATGATTTAATCCAGAATGATGAACTCCGAGGACGAAGATATCCAACGAGGTGAGTTTCGCTCGCTCGCGTTTTGACTCCTCTGCCTGTAACCTTATAATCCTTTTCTCCCGTCCGAAATCCTACAGAACTCTATTTCCTGATTGCCAAGTTCCTCTCGAAGGGTCCCTGTAGCCGAGCTGGATCGGTAAGTTGAAGTTGCGTGCGTTTATTCAGGTGAAATTTCGACTCAACGCATTCCATTTCTCATACAGGCTTTGAAAGAGGAGTTAGTCGAACATCGGGTGAGTACCCCTTTTCTCTAAATCAACTTGGACATAGGTACAGTTACACCTTTACAATGACTTTATATGTTTTCCAGCAATTTTTCCCCCTTAGCCCGACAGTTTTGACCCGAGCGAGGTAAGTAGACAATAGCTTTTAATTCATGCCATGTTGATAGTTGATCCTTTCCTGTGTTTTTCTCTTCAGCTTCTAAGACGCCGTGTCGATTGGAGGGGCGAAGAACATGACCAAACCTACGAGGAAACGGTACACTTTTACCCCCAGTAACAGATCTAGTCAATTTCGAGATTTTAAGCAAGTTTGGCTTCTGGCGGTTTATCAAAGATATTTGGTATTTTTTACCGGGATGGAAAATTTTATTTTCTGAGCTACGTTTAGGCGAAGCCCGCAAAAAATGGTGAAATTTATTTTTCGAGCGTATTTTCGGCGAGCAAGCAGATTGTGTTTTCTGCTACGTTCATTATGAAATTTTGGCAGTGTTTGACACCCTACAACTTATGCATACCAAGCCCTTTGTCTATTCAGATGGTAATCAGATATTTATGGTGTTTACTTCGGGCGAGCCAATCACGTTTGAGATCGGTGCGTGTCGGTTCATTTTTCCATTGTATTGCATTGACAGATTAAAATTCCAGCTGTCATTCGCCACGTCAGAATAATAAAAATAGCATTTCATTTCCGCTGCTTTAAGCTTTGGCCAATATCTGGCATCTCATGTCTGTCGCAAATCAGATGTGTCGAGTCAGATCATGCGGTCAACTTTCGCATGAATTTTGAGAATTTTAATTCCTTCGAGGGGAAGAAAGATTTTGCACGTTTCTTCAGAGGATTTTATTGTATTTTTTGTCGAGCAAAATATAAAACATCGAATTCGTTTTGTGTTTTGTTGCGAGGAAAAGGCGTGGTTACCTTTTGAAGCGCCATTTTGCATGCGATGGATTTCTGCGGAAATTGCGGTCAAACCCTCTAGAAATTCATTTTAGAGAACGGGAAATACAAAACGCAAGTATTAATATTCACAACACCAGTTCTCAATGCCTTTTCCGTTCAATAGGTCTCTGAAAATCGGCACATTCCCGACGACTTCTTATTGCGTATAGCGAAGCGACTTGCACCTCTGGTAGAGCAGTGTGCCCCAGGCAGTGTTGAGGGATTTCGCTCCTTGCTTGGAGCTGGAAGACAAAATTTGTTACGAACATCGGCAGGTAATTTCGATGCATTTGAATTATAAATTCATGCAGAGTTGTTGGGAAATAAAATTTGTATTGCTGAGAAAATCTTGAAAAAAGCTTTGTTTTGGTTCCTTGACTCAAAGCTACTGCACTGTAGCTGATTGTGGGCCTCACAAAAAACGTCATGAGGAGATTTCTTTGTTTTTTTGAGGGCCTACCAAAGCCAAGTTAACGGGCTGAGAAACTCTGTTTTGACTATTAAGTATTTCCATTGATAAAACCACTTAAACTAACAAAAATATTTTAGGGTTCCTGCTTTTAAATTTACCTCTGCTTGCACAGGCTACCCACACTGAAATTATAAGTTGTTGACTTTTGTTTACTTTTTATAACACTAGTGCAAAATTTTTGTACTGGAATTTAATTATTTTGCAGTGGTGCATATAATATATTTGTCTAATTCTGGGCTCTAAGTTCTAAAACATTGTACTTGAGCATGTAGCATCACTACATAATTTTTACTTGCTAGTNCGCTAGCCCAGGATTAAAGGTTAACCAAATTATAACTTTTTCTTCTATACAAATGTTTTTTGCTGCTTTGTTTTGTTTATATCGTGATTATAGAAACTCAAAACAGAACAATATACAGAAAAACTCAACGCAATGTCACAAAACTCAAATCACAATTCTACCTTTTCCTGGGTTAGCTTAATTTGGCTCTGAACAACCTGGCCCTGGAGCTACGCTTTTAGGCTGGCCTAAATCTATATATTCAATACTTTATTTCCTGTTAGAAACAAGCAAACCAAGTGTGAGTTCTTTAGCTGTTTGCTATCATGGAGCACCTTTACTACCACCAGTCAGGAGAAGGATTCCAGGAAATATTGGTAAGGCATGTTATNGTGTTGTTTTCTAGGGCAGAACAATTAACTTAACAGTCTTGGGTATATAAATGAGTACCAGGGCAAATTAACTGCTGCTTGGCTAAGAGATACTACCAGTCACACAGTCTTAAAGTCTACCCCACACTTTTATCTGCCACTATTATATTTAAGAAAAGACGAGGAAACATTTTCTGTTTCTACACCTGCAATGTATGCTTATGAAAACACATTCATAAACAAGTGAATTTTGGTTTTCAAGTTTTGGCAGCTTACCCTGATCACCCAATTATAGATTCTCCTAGCTCTTTCAGGACTTAGCCTGCACTCGGCTATAGACTACAGGTCTGAGTTTTTAAATATTGTTATGGAACAAATTTGACAATGAATTTTCTTAAGTAGCCAGCTTATTGGGGGAAAAACAGCATCAAAGGAAGTTACATCTCAAGTTGAGCCTTCGTTTGAAATGAACAAGTGTGACCCTCTATTTAACAAATTGACATCAGTTTTTCATGCGTCTGTCCTTTTATTGATCATGAATTTTGTCATAACATTGTCAAAGTAGCTGTGGATCCATGAGACGATAGCCGTGTGGATCCGCAGTCTACTTTGACAATGTTATGACGAAATTTATGATCAGTAACAGGGCAGATGCATTAAAAACTGTCATCAATTTGTTTTTTACAATAACAACTTGTCAAATTGCCCATTCTTGCTTGTTGCCACATCGTATAAATTAGAAATTCATATGTCTATCTGCTTATTGACAATGAAAATTAGCCGATGAGCGCACAAGAATTTTTGCAGTTATCGTTAAACACTCTTTCACTACTGTCCTGGGTTTCTTAGGAGTGTTCCATTTAAGCAAGTGTTTTAAACATATTTTTCATTGTATTATGCAGGTCAAGTTTTGTGCAGCAGAGAGATCAGTGGAACCTCTAGTATCAGAAATGTGGCACAGCCAAATCTCTATACCAAAATGTCTATGGTACAATATGCTTTTGTCAGTATTGTATTTGTTAAGACCTAGATACAGTTACACCCCTTGCTGCCAGATTATTAATACTTTAGCAGGATTATAGGAATTTAAACAAGTCCACATTTCCACTAATATACAGTGCATTGATCAAATTTAAGAATGCAGACCTTCATAGTTTCTCAAAGACTTTGAATTTGCAGCTACAGGTATAGCTAAGTAAAGATTTCCTTCATTATTTAAATCATGTTTCACTTACTCACTTTGGGTCAAGGGTGAAAAACAACCAGCTGGAACCAGGCTTACAGCTAACTGTAAGCCTCAGATTGGTATGTCGTGGATGCCCACTTTTTAGAGACAATGAGATGAAATCTTCCGATATTAATTTGTTTTTTAAGCTCTGGAAATACCTTTCCCAAGATCTGTTTAAGAGGGTTTTTGGATGCCTACTTTTTAAATCCTCTGGGCTGCTGGCTGGTTAAAAGATGACCAGAACAATACAATTTGGGTATGTTTAAGGGTAGTGTTGCATGTTGTAATTATAGTGTCATTTTGTTTCCTCAGCATCGCAGAATTCTTGGCCATTTGTCAGCTGTTTATTGTGTCCTGTTTGACAGGAGTGGAGAATGCATTGTGACGGTATGCAGATTAAAATTTTGCGTTAATGTAGGCTATCTTATGAAATTAGTTGACTGTTCAAAGAAAATACAAGGGAATGAATGAAAACCAGGAAGGAAAACTCTGACATTGATGAAAAGGAAATTAACTCCATTTGATTAGGTGTTACCTAAAGGTAACATTCTCATTACATGTACCACTTGTTTTACACTCTCTGTTTTTGCTTTCAACTGAGAGAAGTTTCAATTTTTTGTATAGTTACTTGGAAATTGATGAATTTTTCCAAAGAGTATGAGATCATAGTAATTGTGAAATTTACCACACATGAATTTTGTACTGAATTTTCCTAGGACTCTCCTAGCAGCGAAAGATGCTTTAAGATCAATGTTGGCCACACCGTTTGTTATAAGTAGTGTTTGGTAAAGCTGCATACATGTACATTTTGTAAACAACTCTGTTATCATTTTTTGCAGGGTGCTGATGACAGTCTGGTGAAAATCTGGTCAAGTGAGGATGGCCGTCTTCTTGCAACTTTGAGAGGACACCAGGCAGAGATCTCTGACATTGCAATTAGTTATGAAAACAATTTAGTAGCTGCTGGAAGTTGTGACAAGGTGTTGTGCTTTTATCTGCTTTAATCCTGATGCTAACTGATACTTTTAACTGATTGCTGAAATCTTTTACAAATTTTGCTCTAGATATGTACATGTTTGGCTCATATCAGTTACCTAAAACTGAGAGGTATTCTTTGTTTCAGGTCATTCGGGTGTGGTCAATAAATTCCACGACCCCAGTAGCCGTACTCCAGGGGCACACTGGCATGATAACATCTCTTCAGGTATAGCTGGTGTAAATTATAATTTTGTTCTTGCCACTTGATGAACAATACTACATAATTATGTGTTTATTTGTAAAATTTCATTCACCTTTAAGCTACCACCATATTTTCCACAAAATGAAAGCAATGATTAACCAGAGAATTCCATTTTATCAACAGTTCTGCCCCTCACCATTAAATGAATCCAGGTATTTACAATTTTATTTGTATTGGTAATTTATTATGATGCACGTGTATCTTGATTGCTGCTGTGATTGACTAAATCATTATAATACAGTCTTGTGTGAGAGATATTGACTTATCGGCCAGACAGACTGTTCTTTTTCCCCGACCAGATGGTATATGTGTATGTGTGTAGGATGGTAACAGAACTTTGTTTGCATTCTCACTAGACAATTTCTGGCAATCCGGCAGATTTGCCTCGATGTGTAATGTAAAATCAGCTAGTGTATCTTCCCCTTTTGGTATATTGATTATGAGCATATGATTCTCAAACTCGCTAATAATTCATGGCAGTGACAGTGTTTGGATATCTGATCTAAATGAGCTTAATATATTTTTCGACAATTTTCTCTATTTTCTAATTACCGGAAGTCCTAGTCTCAATTGAGACAGTATTTGATCACATTTCAAACACCTCAAATTTGTCAACTCTCTTCTCAGTGTTTGGAATTGTGGTCAAACACTGTACATGTACATCCTTGGTTGCAACTTTTTTTATTCTAAGATGTACTTAGGTAAAATTTGCTTTTAGTCACTCTTTGTTTTTATTTGCTCAGATATCTAGTTTCAACTGGTGGAGATGGAACAGTTTGCTTTTGGAAATGGGATTTAGCCACCTTAGCATTTGAGTGAGTGTTACAAATACAATCAGATGAATATTATTGTCTGTAGTCACAATAAAAATCAGCAATATATAAGTCAGACCCTACGATCATCACAGAATAGTGAACACACTATAAATGGTACTTTTTGGACAAAGTATGGTGAAATGTGTATTACAGCAACAGTTCTCTTTCATTAAGTTGTGTTCTTGGGCAAGACACTTAACTCTCACAGTGCCTCTCTCCACTCAGGTGTATAAATGGGTACCAGCAAACTTAATGCTGGGGGTAACCCTGCGATGGAATAGCATCCTATCCAGGGGGAGTAGAAATACTCCTGGCTGCTTCATGCTACAGAAACCAGGATAAGCTCCGGCCTGGTGGGCCACTTGGCTCGTATGCAGACTTTCTTACCTTTTACATAGTACATGATGTGCATGACATGGAAACTTAATATTTTACTAACTTGTTTATCTACATTGTTTTTTGTCGTCAAGTTCGAAGCCTATTAGATTCATAGAGAAATCAAGGCCTGGTACTCAAATGGTGTGTTCATCTTTTAGTCCAGGTAAAGGAACGTTTTCAGCATGAATATGTAGGCAATCATGTGGAATAACTTGGAATAATTATTTACAAAGTTGAAGGATAATGAAACAATTTGTAATGTAATTACATTATTATAATATGATATTGCTGCATTGCACACATGTTATATCACATGTTAGCGGACAAAATATGTTTTGAGCCTGAATTTGGTTACCAAAAGTGTGTTGTTTGTTACATGTACTTGCTCTGTTTCAGTCATTTACCATTAATTATAAAAGTTTTTTAAATTAAATTTGTTTTCAATCACAGGAGGAAGCTTCTTAGTATCAGGTAGTACAGATCATATCATTAGAATTTATCAGATGACTCCTGGACCTCCTGAGAGAATTGCTGAATTAGATGTCCACAATGTGAGTATTGGCTGCACCAAGTTTATTAGAAGGAAGCTGCTACCAAAGGGCTCCTGTGTCACATTCAAACGTTCATACCAGTCTAACCTTTGACAAAATGAAGACAAGGAAAACATTTCCACTTAACAATGGTTAAGCCCTCCAAAAATTGTTATCTTGACCACAGTTGATTTTAATGGAGACTGCTGCTCTCCTCTTCTGCTACCTTTAAGGCACCTACCCTCCAATATTTTAATTGTCTTATAGTTCAGTTCACACCTATTCAGCCTGAGCTGTCTGTTTTGAGAAAGGATTTTCCTTTGTCTCTTGATTGTCTAAAACATGCAACACAAAAAAACTAAGCATTAATTAAACATGTCTTGCATTTTTTTACTCTGTATCCCTGTACGGGGAGATGGACATGTTTTCAATTTAATTTAAGTGGTAAATATTTAGACTGTGTCAGGTGAGTCCTTAGGATTAACAATATATGTGTTCTGTCTTCATTCTCAGGATCATGTGGACAGTATTCAATTTAGTCATAAAGGAGACAGGTGTGTTTTCATTCCTCAGCCACATTGTGAAAATACTAACATTTTATTTTGATTAATGATTTTAATCCTAACATCCAATTTAAATACTGCATAAAAGGCAAATGCCCAAAATATTACCCGTTGAATTTGAAACTGATAGTTAAATATCCAGTTTTTTTTAATTATTTAATATTAATTGGTTCAAAGTACTTCGCAATCAGTTGTTTTTACTCTCCTACTTATGCAACAACAAAACAGCAGAACATTTTAACTGTGCATTTTCAGGACTGTCATTAAGGCAGTAACCTGCAATACCTGTTATAGCTGTGTACGCTTGATTAAGGCTCTTGATGTTACTGGTGAACTTGCCTATAGTTGACACAATTCACCCATGAAGTAACAAGTTGTTACAAGTGTGAAGATTGAGGCTACAGTTGACTTAAAACTTAACGATGGCCCTGCATTTTAGAGAGTTTTACAGCTTGTGAGATCACAAAGTAACCCTTTATTGGGAAACAAAATAACTAATAAAGATTCTTCTGTCAATCATTCCAAAACTATTCTGCCTGCCACGGAGAAAATTATTACATGTAGTAGAAATACACTATGTCTGATACCTGCGTAAATTGTGGAGCCTAAAATGTACAGTTTGGAAGGGTGGAAAATCCTAGCTCTATGTATTCTTGTGTTGGTTAAGACATTGGGATCAATGGTATGGTAATGCTTTCATTATAATTTCCAGGTTTCTCAGTGGTTCGAGAGACGGCACTGCTCGGATTTGGTATTTTCACAGATCAGCCTGGAAACACATCTTGGTTGATGTTAGCAAAAGACTTCCAAAGTATGTCACACAAAAACATGTTGACATTGTCACTTTAATAATTTCTAATCCAATACTGTTCTCAGCATATTAAGAGTTAGTTATTCTTTACAGTCTTACCTGGATGTCATTGCTCAAATTCTGATCTGGATGTTTACACTCAAGCAAATGTTGTTGTGCTCCTGTGTGGAGTGGCGAGCTTCTCAAAATTATATTATACATGTTATATATATATTATCATAGTTATATTAATAGCTACATTTTTCTACCATATTTTGTTTAATTTTGGCATTCTTGTTTTTCATTTTTGCAGTTCATCCCCAATAGAAGAATCAGTCAGGGCTCTTAAACCAAGGGTTACCATGGTAAGATTGTTGCAACAGTAGTATTTGTTATAAATATTATATCTACGCACCTTACATTGTTGCGTCTGGACCGAAAGGGAGAGATACATTTGAATGACCTTTATTTTAAGGATGAAAAATATTTGGAAATTGATTTTTTCTTTTTTTTTTGAAATCATGAAAATATAAGAGATCTAATTTTCAGATACATAAGATACATAGATAATGTTCTCTGCCAGTAAATATCAATAATTGACTGGGGCTTTTAGCATGAAGAAAGTGCATCATAATTTACAAGGTACAATTTACTTACTAGCCTTGGGGAAGTTTGACAGAAGATTCTCAAACTCATTAGCTAATCATCAAGTTTAAACAAAGGAGATCATAACGGTCACTGTGATGGTGTCTGGTTATCTGAAGATCTTAATTGGAATAGATTTTTACAATTTTATTTCTCCATTTTCTCCTTAATTTTAGTTTTGATTGAGAAGATACACTTGTACATCAAACAATCAAGAGAGTGTTTGACCACCTTTCTAAACACCTTGAAGTTCATCAAAAATACTCTGCTACACATCATATTTTCAACTTTCTTCTTGGTGTTTGGAAATGTGGTCAAACAAGGTCTTTCACGATATATTCTCATTTCCTTGTTGTGTTAGGTTGGCTGGGATCTCTGGGATCAACATGTAATCACAGCTGTCAATGATAACACACTCAAAGTGTGGGAAGCTGCTACCGGAAATCTCTCTCGTGTACTCNTCCAGGTAAAATTAGTTGATAATGAATCTTTAAGCATAATTTCATTGTCTTGTAGACCCAGACAGACCCACATCTTATGCCTCCTCCTTTCTTAGTCGACGTGGATGGCAATCCCCACCCACTGCACTTCCAGCGACTCGTGCCAGGTCACGGCAGTAATGTACGTGGTCCACCTAGACCTGCCCCTCAGCCACCTCCCACTCCAAGAGAAAATCTTCCTCCTCTGCTGGCAGAGATAGAAGCTGCTGAAGCTGCAGAGGCACAGGAAAGACAGATGGGAGCAGGTTTGTATGAAGCCATTATTTTAATTTCTATCTCTCTTTTTGGCAGTATGTCTGAGTATTACTGGGAAATCCTAGTTTAATGAACTTAAATAGAGAAAAAAAATTCCATATAATAGAGTGTGTATTATATATCTTGGGAAGTACATTGGCAACCGTGATAGTTAACACGGTTGGAATTGATGCTGTTAAATGAAATTTAATGGAGTTAACAACAAGGAGTGCAAGTCTTGCCTTCACAGTCAGCAGCTTTTAGATCTGCACACGCACTAGAATTCCATGTGTTCTTGGACCGCAGGGCATTGTACGTGCAGTAGATTTTGCATTGAGTCAGCGTTTTCCTTGAGCATTAGCGTTTTAAGCATGGGAACTCTTCTCAGAGGTTTTTTTCCCTCCCCTGTCCCTCTCTTTCCACTGTTTTATCAGTGTGAAGGGTGCCTGTTTTTCTCCCTTTTGCAGGGGGGCTCATGGGTGGGTTTCCAGGATTTGCCAGCCATGGGAGTGGTCTCCATCTAGGAGCTGGCTACCAATAGTGGAAGCTCCTGGATGTCTCAGGCACCCAACCTCCACTTTGCGAGGCAGCTGTTAAGTGATAGTTAAAGTGGCAGAGAGTGTTTTGGACGTGAACAAAGAAACTACAATGACGGCTGATTATCTGTTTAACTGAAATCGTGTGCTCATGTCCTCTCTAACAGCTCTTCGGTCCCCACCGCCTCATGGCCAGGGAGCTGCTCCTCCCCTTCAGAGCCCTGGAGGAAGTCGTAATTATGGCATGCGACAGATGGGTGACGTGGAAGGTGTGCGGCTGGTTGAAGGGAATGTTCCAGTGATTCAGGATGTGTCAGATGCTGATACAGCGGCCTGGAGGAACAGAAGAATCGTACCTGACAGGAAACCAAGTATTGCTAAGTAAGTGCTTTTGTCGACCTGTTGGGGGACAGGAGGGAGGCTGGAAGTATCAGTTGATAGCGAATTCCAGTTTTCAGAACCATTACAGTTAGTTGCTTGCAAGTTTTTTTCTTTCTTTCCTAAACCATCACTTAATCAGTTGAAGTGAACATTCTCTACAGTACAAACACCAGTACGCCAGTTAGGACTTCGGGAACACTGACTATTCCTGTATGATAAAGTTGACTGCTGAATTCAGCCGATAAAAGTTTGCAGTAATGTGTAGTACGATTTAGAGGACCTTGACATTAGACTGCTAAAAGATGGCGACCCTGCAACTGACTTAGTATTTTTTTGTTGTTGTTTCTGCTCTCACTGCAAGGTATGACGAGGAAAGAAGGCTGATTTTGGGAAGGCAAGAAATGTCTAACTACCTTAGAGAGAAAAAGAGACGAGCTCTACCCTCGACCTCTAAGAGGGTAAGTCCAATACGTCATCAGTTGTGTTTTTAACAATGCTCACAAGGTGTCTTGTGCAACCATCTTGATTGTAAAATATCTATAGCTTTCAAGCCATTTTCTCTTCCATGTACCAAATGAATACAAACTATGGACAACACCCTTTCAACCACTCTTCTCCAAAACTAGTTTAAAACTAGGACTAACCCTTCTGCAGGATTATCTCATCTCTTTGAATAAGAAAAGAAAAGTTTGAACATCTGTATTACATGTGACCTGCTAGAACTACATGTTGTTAACAGTTTGCGGCGGAACCCTATTTCTCTTAAGAACCTTTTTTTGTCTTTGCCTTGTTGCTATGTTAAAAATACGTCACCTTAGGTAAGTGACAAAAACTAGAACTAGGTGAAATAGTCCATTTCCGAGTTACCCTTTGTGCCTCTGCTTCAAAACGAGTCTTTATGTTTAACTTGTTTTATGAAAATGAGTTTGATTTGTATGAAAATGAACCTGGAGGCAGAACACATTTTCATGTGAATGGTTTCGCACGATGTGACAGTCTCGTTTCGACACAGAGGCAAAATCCCACACGTAAATAGCCTGTGTTAAGTTACAACATGTAAGTATGTAACTTACTTTCTCATCTCCTTTATTCATTCTGCAGGTAACAGTTCATGTACCTGAACCACCGCGCACTGTTGAAGAAAGACCTCAGCAAGCTTCTCGTCGCACCACAAACAGGCGGAATGCGGGGCAGTCCTCCCGTGGGACAAGAAGAACACCTTACTCGACCAGAGCTGCTGCCTCTATTGATGTGGAGTCGGCTGAAGAGGAGGCAGCAGCCACCTCCAGTGACACTGAAGAAGAGGATGAAGAAGATGAATGGTCTGAAAGCAGCAGGTACAGTGTATTTGCGTAGAGTAAGGATGTCACGCAGCACTGCGTGACGGAAGTGTTTTGTGATGTCCTCCTTCTTCAACCCAGACCCTAGAGAGCTTAAGCAGTGATGAGGACCCCGAGGACAACGCCTAGTGAAAGTATGAATTTATATTTTACCTTCGAATTTCAAAAATGGCTAGATCTGCACAGTGCGCCTGTTGGTCTCAGAACTTGCGTCGTTCGCGTTCTTCAAAATTCGCAGAACTTAGTCATTTCATGTTGTTGTTGTGCAGACGATGGCAAAGAAATGTACAAAGATCTATGACGCACTTGCACAGCCATTGTTCTGTTCATTGATTAAACCTTTTGTTTGCTGGCGTTCTCGTTGCCGTTGTCGTCGAGGTTTGCTGAAGCTCTCTTCTGTGAGAAGACTGACATTTTACGGTAAGATAGGGTCAGTTATCGAGGGTGGCCAAAGGTTCATGTAGTCTTCAGTCAAGAAATACGATGTGTTTTGTACTGATACAGATTGTATCGCAGTTCTGTGTGGGTGCATTCAATTTTTCCGCTGATGGTTTTTGTTCATCCACAGTGAATCCAGTGAATACTCTGACTGGACAGAAGAAGTTGGACTCAGAACTCAACAACAGACTGAAAATCGCCGACCAAGGTGAGTTCGGCAGAGTTTTCTCCGTGTGTCTCTCTCTAACCGAGCATGTGGAAACAAATCTCCAGCGATGATAGTGTTCTTTGTAATCAACAGGAATGGTTAAATTTATGAAAAATAAATATTTGAACCGTAAATATTGGCCTGCTTGTAGATTTTAGTGAGATACACTACGAACGCGCTTTAATATACCGTTTTGAATGTAAATAGTTTCCCTTGAAGTTTGTCTTTTGATTTTTGTTACTTGTTAGTTTGTTTGTTCGTTGATGTTTTTTTTATATTTGTCATACAGGCGGGTGTGTAGAGTGCTGAGTACATCTGAAGAAGAAGGAACAGAGCCAGCTCAACCGGGTCCCAGCTCTCCTCAACGCCAGCCCAAGGTCAAGAAAGAGAGCAAAAAGAGCAAGAAACCTACCAAGAAAAAGAAAGTAAGTTGTTTTTCTTTTGTAATTTTATGTCTGAAGTGAACCCAGTATAATTTCATGTGGCAAATCAAGACCGCCTGAAACGCGAATAACGTATGAACCGATCAGAAGTTGAAGCGAAACATGCAGCCGGCGCCAAGCGCGGGAAAACTTCATACCTGTAGGTAGCGTGGGATAACATGCAACTTCAATCTAGCGCTTGAAAACGTTTAATCAATGCTAAGCGCGGGGAAACACGCGTCGACCAAATCGCGTTTTGTTCTGGTTGTGCTTGGCTGTGGTAGACTTGCCGCAAGTCGACCTTTGCTTTTATCTCCCTCTAGCGAAGCGAGAGGGCAATCTTCGAGCGACGAAGTTGCCAGCGGAAGTCGCGAGTGTGACCGACACCAACAGGCCGGGAAAGAACTATTGGAAAGGACTTTTAGAAAGTCTAGGTTTTGGTTGTGCTCCTAATTCGGTCACTAAGCCGGTGTCTGTTTGTTTGTTTGTTTGTTTGTTTGTTTGTTTGTTTGTTTGTTTGTTGCGCGAGGTCTTTGACTAAAGAGCTTTACACCAAACACAAACCTAGAGTAAGGTGCCTTGTAAGTTTTTGTATTGAACTACCAGTAAATCGTGTTGTCTACACGACTTGTAAATCGTGATGTCTTTCTTTGTTTGCAGCCGTCGAAAAAGCCTAAAGTAGATGAAGTTCAGGAATTACTAACGTTGTACCAACCGCCAGACTGGCTCATTTGTACAGTAAACCGAATCTCTCCATATGTACCTCAGATTGGTGACGAGGTAAGGGTAAAGGCTGATTCCTTTGTGATCATCTCTCAAATTTCGCCTAAGCCGGTGCAAAGAGGAAAGTTTTTCTCATATTAGAAGTTCAGTTCAAACCAGTGAAAACCACGTTCAAACGAACGTAAATTTATTTACCACTGAAGTATCCGTAAAACAGGTACAACGAAGCATGGGTGGATCGCAATAAGCGTCCTCCGACACCTAACACAGAAAATCCAGTGAGGAATGTGACGCTAAAATACCAGCGGAAAATGTATTTGTGAAAGCCAGTTACCCTCCTGATGAAAACGTCAATGAAATGACACAAGTGACTTCCTTGCGTTGTGTTTTAACTTCCTTGTATCGCCTTTTTTGGTAGGTATATTATTTCCGTCAAGGCCACGAACTTTACGTAAAGGAGGTAATGGCCTTGAAGTGTTACGAAATCAACCCAAAGAAACAGTGTTTCTACAAACTTAGATTAAAGGTAGGCACTGGTCTCTGTTCATTGTTATTAGCCAAGTCTGTGGAAACGAATAGTTCAGTTTTGATTGTAAGGTCTTGCCCTTCACTTAGCCAAACCGCGAAAACTTGCGAAGACAGGTTTGATGTCACTAAATGTATAATTATTTTGCGTTTACTAGGCCGAAGAACTGTGCCGTATTGTAAGCTTACATTACTCAACTGGTCCACCAACTCTTTGCTGCTTAAAATTAGGTAAGATACACAAGAATTAATTACACGAGTTTTCCCGGTAACAAGTATTTACTGAGTGAAACTCGTGGACCTGTACTGCACTGATCACCGGTTAATACCAGCTGCCCTCTTAGGTTCAGCTGATCGATTTTTTATCAGGATAAATAAAGATTTTGTTATTTTTATTATTTTTATGTTTGATGTGATTTATTGCAGCTCTGATAAATCCTGAAACGGGAAACAGCACCGGAGCAACATTTACTGTCAAGTAGGTGGAAGGTTTACATTTGAGTTCTTTACACGGTCGAATCAAACCTTAAAGGGCCCTAGTCAGCTACACTTAAATTGTTTTTGTTTACATGCGGGACATTTTATTCGGAGCATGTCGAAAAGAAGGAAATCGCTGTGAAACTACTAAAGTTAATTAAACACACTTTCAGGAACACAACTAAGAGCAAAGCAATAAGATTTCGCTTCACCTTGCAAAATCAATAATTTCGATGGCGTCGAATATGGCGGAGGCTTATACTTGGGTCCTTTAAGGATCCTTTGTTGTTACCTTATTCCTAACACGATGTGTGAGTTAGTTTCATTGTCTCTTCATTTTTCTGTCGTTTCTCCAGATATCACGATGTTGCAGATGTGTTGGACTTTTTAGTGTTACGCCAGGCGTTTGATATATCAATTAGTAGGAACTGGAGACCAGGTGGGTATACCGATCTTATGAAACAGTGCAAAAGATAAGTTTACGGTCAACCCAGACCGTGATCTTTCACGTAATGAGAGGTGACAAAATCATATTACGCGGCAAACTAAAAACAGGAATCTCTCTGAACGGATACCTTTCATTGTAAATAATAGCTCACAGCTTTTAGCAGATCACTTTTCACTGCTGCAGTCATTTATATTTGACGCTAAGGTAATTATAGATAATCGTATGAATGCGATTGCAGTTGAGGATTTATACAACGAGTGATATTTGAAATTCTCTCAACATTTAAAAGAATTTTCAAATATCACGAGTAGTGTAAATCCTTAATTGATCGAGCTTTCAGACGATTACTTATTTTTATATGACTTTGAAAATTGCGAACGCGCTTGCGCTTGATTTGCGCTGCAGTGCAAATTGAGAATTAACGATAAATTGGCCTACTATCAGCCAGTCACAATGAAGTAATTTTCTCAGTCATATAATTAATGTCATGATTCATAATCTCATGCAATCTACTTAAAAAAAATCCTTTGAAACCCTATTGGTTGGTTGGTTGGTTGGTTTTAGTCTAGGGGTGGAGCTAAAGTGCACCTGTGTTATTTATATCTTTGATTGCCCGAAAACTCTAAAGAACCAACACAATATCAACAACGTTTATTTGTTCAAAATGTCGTGAAAACTTTGCTGTTAAAAGCAAGATTATGGCGGAGTCACGGCATGTTGTTATTGTGTGCCTCTTCCTGAGGGCTTGCAAGATGAACACAAGCATTTGTTTGAGGCTTATCTCCTGTTAAGCAGTGGAGCTATGCTATAGGACAATGCTACATTAGATTTTTGCTGCATAACAGTTGTTTTCTGTCTCATATCGAGTCGTTTATTTTCTGTTCTTGTATGACTGAACTGAGGAAATTTAAAAATTCTTCATTATGATATACGAATAATCGAAACACATTTTGGTGCGATTTCATATCAGAGACGTTTGGAAAAAAAAAATGTCGAAAATGAGCTGAAATGCCTACTAGCTGTTTAACGCGGCCGATATTTGCCGATGTTTTTGTCGTTTTATAAGACTAAAGTAAACTATTGTTCTGCGTGGGTTTATTGTTCATTGCTGTTTCGTGCATTGCTGTTTACAGGGCATCGTTTCCGCAGTGTCATAGACGAGACTTGGTGGGCGGGTGAGATAACAGACAGAAGTCCTTTCCAAACCGAGTTTCCGGATTCTCATTTTCAATGCTTCACTGTTAGGTAAGAAACAAAAAGGCTTATACAGCTCTCAGGGATGAACAACAACAACAAAAAAACATTAGGATTCGAACGGTCAGCAGTCGAGTTTTCCCGTGTGCTCTGAAACTTATCAAAATGTAGTTCCTTTCAAATATCATAAGCCTTGAGCGTAACAAAAATATGATTTACAAATATTAAACATACGGACTCTCTCTTTGCACGCGTAATTTATCCCCCACCCCACACTGGTTGTAAGTCCTTACCTGTGACCTGGGTTTTGGTTTAGGTCGTTTAGGGTCAGGGTTGGGTTCCAAGAATCCGTGTTTTGTCTCTCACTGGTTCTCAGTTCTGATATTCCGCGCGTAAGTAACACAACCATAACTATAAATATTTAGAGAGGAAGCCATTTCAGCCTCAGCTAGTCCTCAATCTTGGTCGAATTGGAATTGGAAGTGTTGGTCTTTTTGTGGAGGGAGGAAAACCGGAGAACCCGGAGAAAAACCCTCGGAGCAAGGCGAGACCCAACAACAAACTCAACCCAATTGAGTGCGCGATGAATGAGTGATGTCATTATCTGTGTCTTTTTTAGTTGGGACACGGGAGAGGTGGAGCGGATGAGCCCCTGGGATCTGCAGCCAGTTACGGAACATGGTTAGTACTGGAAAATGTGCCCTTGTTTCAGACAAGACCATTATGATCCCCGAAGCTCTTGTTAATACATTTATTCCCGAGCTCGGAATGTCAATTCTCTTTACTAGGCGCGATAGGTTTCTTTCAAAGCTAGTTTGAGAATGTAGTGACTCATTAGTTCAATCTTCTTTTATTTCTGTCTTATTCTCGTAATGATAATTAAGTAGTTGGCCTGAAATGTTATTTATAATTCAGTGTGTGTTTCCCGCGCATTTTCTTGTCGCGTTCTGAGTCTTTAGTCTTTGTGTAGTGGTAATCCTTTTCCCCTTCTCCTCCCTCATCTCAGCTTTTTTTGTCTCTATTGACTTCAGACCCGGGGAACCCAGACCTCTCTGCGCAAGACACGGACGCTTCAGGCGCGGCAACAAGCAACATACCGCTGACCGATGAAGAGCGGCTGACGCTAGCATATGTCCCGGATGAAGAGTCTGAATGGCTTGGTGAGGGACGGGAGGAAATGACACAGCGCCTCGTAACGGGCCTAGAAGCGTTGAGTCAACTTCACTTCGCGGGGCCTTTTGTTTATGCAGTGGATGTACACGAGTATCCAGATTATTGGTCAGTGGTGCCTTACCCGACTGACTTGAATACCTTACGAGAGAAGCTCTTAAACAAGTATTACCGGTAAGACTTGTTTATTGTCCTTGACGCCCACCGGGTGTGGACCAGAATCCAACGCGCGACTTCAGTGCAGCTTACCCTAGGTGCCAGAGGTTTCTCTTGCGCGGTTTCCGGTGTCGGTCGCCGCCGAAGCGAAGTGAAGTATGTCCGTCCGCCGCGCGCGAGAAAAAACCTCTGGTACCCAGGGTATGTGCAGCTTCTCTCCAGCACAANACTTTGTAGTATTCTAACTGACCGTAGAAATCGTACCAGGGGAGGAAAGGCTATTGTCAGGGAGTTTGTCTCCTTACGATCAGTGGTTTGATATTTTCTGTGTCTCCACCGTCTTCCCTGATAGTCATCCAGTGGCTAATATGTGACATCAGAGAGAAGAAATGAAAAATCTGTTTGCTTCGTAGCCAAGTATTAAATGTTGTTTGATCTCAGGGACTCCTCGTGTAATGATATCCTTTCACTGTGCGAAGACGAGGAAGGAATAGAAGACGGAGATGTACAGGTGTGAATTTTACTTGAACTCACTCTATACTTATCGCAAAGTGGAGGCGCGGTGGCCTCATGGTTTGTGCGCTCGACTCCTGATCGAGTGGTCCGGGTTCGAGCCCTGGCCGGAGACATTGTGTTGTGTTCTTGGGCAAGACAATTTACTCTCACAGTGCCTCTCCCCACCCAGGAGTATAAATACTGTAGGTAACGGCGAATTTAATGCTGTGGGGTAACCCTGCGATGGACTAGCATCCCATCCAGGGGGAGGTAGAAATACTCCTAGCCGCTTCGTGCTACGGAAACCGGGATAAGCTCCGGCCTGATGGGCCTATTGGCTCGTGTACAGACTTTTGTTCATACTCATCTTGAATGGAGAGTCAGACCAACAGCTTTCGCCTCAGAGGAGTATAACGGTACCGTACTGAGAAGCCACTACAGAAACATACAGCTGCAGGCACTGATGGGTTATAGAAGTTTTGACTTGTTTTGACTTAAAACTTGTTATATGTCCTCAGGTTCAAGTGGAGAATATGTCAGAGGAATCAGCTGGGGAAGGTGAAACATCACAGGTAAAACAGAAATGCTCTGCATGTTTGTTGTTTTCATAATTGTTGTTGTTGTCTGCTTCTATGAATTACCTTGTTGTTTTCGAAGAACGTGAGATCGTTAAAACTTTTCATGACTTTGGTAACTGATTAATTCGCCTCTGGTAGGGGTAAATGTAGAATGGTGACAATCGGTATGAGGCTGATAGCTGTAAGGCTTAGTTGATGTGGTTAATGGTAATTTTTCTCGCATCTTTGTCTTCTAGGATTCTGCTGCGGCGGGTTCTCGTAAAAGAAAACGAGTAAGTGCGGATTTCTTTATTACAATTCATTACAGTTCTTTTATTGTGCCAGATTCAGAACTGACTTCTCACAAGTAAATAGGGACTGTAAGAACCAGTTACTGAGCGAGTAACGGCAGTACGTTCACCAAACGAGAACTTCTCATTCGTTGTGACTAGACTACGAGTAGTCCCTCTCTCGCTTAGTCCGTAGTGCGTGACGCGAAAGAAAACCGCGAGAAGAAAATGGCTGCGCGAAATCCTGGTGGCGAGAAGCACGCGTGCTACTTTAGTTGTGGCAGATGTTGAATGTTTTTTGTTACCTTAGGAATCAAGTTCCTCGGAGGGTCCTAACAAACAGATCAAGAGAGAGCAGCCACCTCCTGTTGAGGTAAGCTATAATCCTGGCTCAGCAGGTGTGTGTCGTGGACAACAAGTGAAAATATTCAGGTTTCTCGGCCTGTCGACTGCTCTGTATTTGTCGCAGCAAGATTACGGCGGAGTCACGGCATGTTGTTATTGTGTGCCTCTTCCTGAGGGCTTGCAAGATGAACAAAACAAGCATTTGTTTGAGGCTTATCTCCCGTGATACAGTGGAGCTATGCTATAGGACAATGCTACAGTTGCTTGTATCAAATTGCAATTAAAAAACAAAACAAACGTAGATTGATTGCCTTTTTGGTTTGTTCTAGACTGTGCCGGTTCACTCGATGATATTTCACAGCTTTACTAAAAAACTGGAAAGCAGTGGTTCAATAGCCTGGTTAAGACATAAACCAACGTATTCCTCGTCGGTTTGTTATAGGAACTGAAAATTTAAGTTACTTGCGTATGTTAATTTTCAGCCCTGGATGCAGTCCGCGCATCAGCTGTTAGACTTCCTGGTATCACGTGAAGATGCCACGCCTTTCCGACATCCTGTGGACCTCAATGACTTTCCGGTAAGTTAAGATGTGAACGGAAGGTGGTTTCTGACTTGTGCAGGCTCGTGTACCTTCCTAGATTCCTCTCTATGACCACTAAAAAAGGGTAGCGTGGGTGGAGTCGGACACACCATAAACCCAACACGGCTGATAATTAAAATGATGAATTAAAACAATCAGATCTCATTTGAAAAATAATGCCGCCAATTTCTCCTCTTTGAACGAACCAGCCAACCAACCAACAAAAACGTAATTAGGAGCACTTGAGTTTAATAGATATATATGTTTCTTAGTGACTGCTTTCTTTCAAAAACAGAAGCTACAAATCGAACTGAAGCTGTAAATTTCATTTTCGCTTCTGCATCTAATTTGTCTAAGTAACTAGAGTTGATTGAACATTGAGTAACACGCTCGATTTCACTGGAGCGCACTTGTTTAATTTTGTGTTCCAGGATTACACTGAGGTGGTGGCTGAACCGATGGATTTCAGCACCGTTTATCGCCGCTTAGAAGACAACTTGTACAACGATCCGGAAGCTTTTGTCAGAGATGTGCGCCTGATTTTCTCCAATTCAAGAGCTTACAACACAGTGCCGCGTTCACGGGTATGATAATGTTACTTATTATATGGCTAGCTCCTTGAGCGGGCAAGATGGATGAAATCCTGCGCTGTGATTGGCTACCCGAGCGGGCAAGATGGAGCTATCTTGCCCGCTCGGGACTACCCGCCGTGTCCCGCAAGAAAAATTTCCGCGNACATTTGTCCGCGGACATTATCTGTTTCTACAAGCGAACAGTTTTCCGAGAGCGCAGCTGGTGGAAATCTGTGAGCTTTGAGCAACAGATGATGTTCAAGGACAAAATATCCGAGCACGCCAAATGGAAGCTACCCTTCAAATATTTTTCGCAACACGCGCAGTTTTGAAAATTGGGAAATATCACTCGGAGATTCCCCAGTTTTAGCTCAGGCATATTGAGAGTGTGTCCATGAGAAAACCAGGCAGGGGGTGATACAGCTCAAATCACCGATTTCGCTCAAACGTGGCACAAGTGTTGGGTTTGGTAAGTGAATGATTGTGGCAAAACAGTAGGTTAAAATATTTTATTCCCTTCAAGTTAGGGGACCCCCTGCAAAAATGGCCATTTGACACTAATTTATGCCTATTTAATTAGCCATCTATAGTTTAGTACTTCCACAACAAGAAAAGCCATGTGAAAATGAAATCCACTGGATCATGTTGTACAACTATCAGTCTATAAGCACAGATATTCATTTCAACTGGGCAATTTGATTTCTCTCCCTGGCTTCATGATCCAGTGGATTTCATTTTCACATGGCTTTTCTTGTCGTAGAAATGCTAAACCAAATATGGCTAATTAAATATGCATAAATTAGTGTCAAATAGTATTTTTGCAGGTGGTCCCCCTAACTTGAAGGGAATAATATATTTTGACCTACTTTTTTGCCACAATCATTCACTCACCAAACCCAACATTGCGCCAAGTTTGAGCGAAGTCGGTGATTTGAGCTGTATCACCTCCTGCCTAGTTCTGCCTGGTTTTCTCGTGGACACACTCTCAAGTTACATGACGCGCTTAGACCAATTGCGAGTGAAAAATTTGACGAATTATAAAATTGAATCAATACACCCTGTCAAGTCCGTGACTTTGGGCTGCAATAACAGATGAGACACCTATATTTAAAGAGGATAACATAGAACAATTTCATGCTCGAACTAATAGCCCTCTGCCCTAAGTAAGTATACAAGCCTGAAGACTAAGAACAGCTACAGATCTATCTACACTAAGACGATAGTGGGTCAAAAATTAACCTGATTTCGTCAGTGGAGGATCATTCCTTCACTTTAAATTTTCTGCATTAGTTGTCCACCTCGGAGGAATTAAACTTGTTTATCCTCACTTTGTTGAAAAACGTTATACAAAGGTTTGTTTAGCCCAGTTTATGTTTCATTATTGTTAATTCTATCTCTCTCGCTAAACGTCCCTTTGCAGATCTACAGCATGACTATTCGTCTCTCCGCCATGTTTGAGGATCGCGTCGATAGCGTTCTAAGAGACTGGTACGAGTCTGCATCCGGCGGAGCCCGTCGCACAAGATTACGAACCATGCGGTTGCTCGGATCTCAAGCGCCAGACAGTAGGGGTGGGTCTCGACATCGGGCCTCTCACTCAGGGAGCCAGGCTGCGTCTAGTGCGGCCGCCCACTCTTCAGGCGCAGGCTCGAGCTCCGATTCTCTAAGCGCCCGAGAGAGTAGAACCCGGTCCGTTGCTACTCGAGCTGCGACAACTTCCGATTCGGACCTACGAAACGGTTACGGTCACGCCGTCACCGCAAGGACAGAAACCCGAGGGAGTTCTCGGGCGAACCCGCAGTCTCGTCACGATCGAGACAACGATAACGTATTCGAAGATACTGGAAGTGGGAGGCAAACAAGATCAAGTGCTCGACGGGAACTTGTTATGCGATTTCCTGCCTCGAGGATTCAAGAAAATAGACAGGAGGAAAGTGTTTCTAACGGGCCGCTTACAAGCCGATATTCAACGCGAAGGAGTACATCCTTAGCGCAGGGATCGACGAGTGTAAATGGAGAAGATTCTGACGAGGAAGAAGAGGACGAAGAGGGTGAGGAAGAGGAAGAAGAAGGAGAAGAAGGAAGCGAAGAGGGAGAAGAAGAACAAGGTGACGACAGCGAAGATGGAGACGAAGAGGAACAAGAGGAGGATGATGAGGAAGATGAAGAGGAAGACGACGAAGACGAAGAAGAAGAAAGTGACGACAGTGCTGTAGAGTCGCGCCATCAAACTCGCCGGAAGACAGCTCGGCCTACCCATCGACCCACTGTTACAGTGCGAACTAATCGCTCAGCGAACACGAGCAACGCTCGCTCAAACAGGCGTCAATCACACGGCAGCTCTTCACGTAGGACTAGCGAAACGTCGCAAAGAAATGTGAACCCTCCCGCGCGGCGAAGTTTGCGGAGAAATTCGTCAGCGCGTCGTGTAAGGTACAATGAAAATGACTCCGATAGCGAAAGTGACTCGCTTGGAAACGAGGTCATCGGAGTCTCCAGTCGTGGTCGAGTTAGAAAACCAGCGGTTAGAATGCAAGATTATGTCGAGTAACCAGTTGTTTGACTGATAAGTGGAGCCGTGGAACCTCGCCGCCTGCCCTGCTTTGCCTGGCGAAAGCACTTGGATATTAGGCAGGGTGGGGTGGGGAGTTTGGTGCTTGAAGAGCAAACCAAATACAAGTTGTGCGCTATTTTCTGAACAACTAACTGCGACAGAAAGTGTTGGTGCGTGATTTCTTTAACGACGTAGCCTTAAAGCATTACGTATCACGAGTGTGTTCTTGGAGAAAGAAGTTTTAGTATTACTTCAGTTGGAGAGAATATCCTGAGAATCAATCTCAAGGCATTTGAAGCCATTGAAAGAATGAAATACACTTTAATTGATAGAACGAACAAAAATTGAAGTAGGTCATCTTCTATTATTGAAAAAAAATACTTGAACGTTCTGAATCGTTTATATTTTTGTATTTAACGCCATGAATACAGTACATGTTTACAAATCCGATTTCATAATGGTACATTTCATCACGAAGGCTCAAAATGGCCAATTAGACTGTAGACTCTTGTTTTCGATTCATATCAAATAATCAAGTGAACTTATTGAATTGCCTTGTACTCCTTCGTACTTTGTGTTTATACTACATTCAGGAAGTTTTCCATAATATATCACTTATTATTTCATTATACCCTTTCACATTGTACGTTTATCCTTTGTTTTTCCTATGTCTTTAACTAGCCATCAATATTCGCTTTTTGCCATTGCTTTTCGTGTGCTGTTATCAGAAAACAAATTGCGCGTCGGATTAAATCTTTTTTATATTTCAGTTCTTGAACAATTTCTTTGTTCAACGTTAATAAATAAATTAATACATGAACGGCTATTTTGGTGCTACTTGCTAACAAAATAAAGCTGATTACAAATTCTCAAAACTTTGTGCGTTAACATGGTTCCTTTAGTTTTAGTTTACTGTTTCCTGTCAATCTCCTGTTTAAAGTAGTGACCAGTAAATTTTACGGTTGGTGCTATCTCGCACCCCCGGGGGAGCTTCCTTAAGAAAATATCGGGGATGCTCATCGGAAAATTTGAAGTAAACCCCTAAAAGAGACCAATCCGGGCGTGGCTCGAACTTTATTTGACTCCCAAAAGATACCACTTTACCAGGCACTGCGCGGGAAAGGAGCCCTGGACTCGAGAGACCGGCGGAAATCGATCCTAAAATCCTCTTACTAACCGAGTTCTCGGTCCGTACTGTAAGTTATGGACCGAGTTTTTTCCCCTTCGCGTCTGGGCCTTAAGTCGAAGGGGAAAAAACTAGGACCTGTAACTCAATGTACGAACCGAGAAGATGAGGTAAGTAAGATATTTATTATATCTCTACTGTGTGTCTGACGCGTTCGAGAACGATTTCTATAACGGCTTGAAATTTATGACGCACGTCGGAAGAAAACGAGTTAATTTGAATTCGTTGTGAAGTCGTAAGCACGTTTTAATGCACAATTTTTAAAAAGTGGAAAAAAAGTTTTAAACTTTTACTTGCTATGAAAGTTAAGAACCCACGGCGATTAATTGCGAAGAATTTTGGGAACAAAAACAGCTTTAAATTTTAGCGGGCAGTACAGTAATACAGCCCGCTAAATTGACCAATCACAGCGCGCGTAGTAACTGAGAGATACAACAAGTGCAGTTATTATTATTTCTTCGAGTGCACCCTAAAAGATACTTTGGCAGTTAAAAATAGTGGTGTTTCATTGATCGTCAACACTGTAAGTGAGACCAGTGATTCATACACCTAAGCGAGACGAAGAGCATCACCGACCTTTTCATATGGGAGTCGACCCCCCCCCCCCCCNAAGGGGAAAAAACTAGGACCTGTAACTCAATGTACGAACCGAGAAGATGAGGTAAGTAAGATATTTATTATATCTCTACTGTGTGTCTGACGCGTTCGAGAACGATTTCTATAACTGCTCCACCCCCCCCCCCCCCCCCCCCCAACCCCGCCCCTGGGCAATCTCGTTCCCATTGGCTGCGAGTAGGAGTAAGAAAATGGAGTAAGAGAAAGAATACTTACGCCCATTATGGTCCTATTTCCGTTTATGTTACTATTATCATTTCTGTTCATGCCCAGTGTACGCCCGCCCTATCGATCAGATGAATGCACGCAGAAGATAAAGATCACGAGAGAGGCGTTACAGTTGATTGAGGTTTCATAAATTTGATAGACGCGCAGGAAACCAATTCCACAACAAAGCGATAGTGATCGGAAATAAAAGAGAAACAACTATTTTGCCATTTGTGTAAATAATCAGGATTTTTCCTGCCTCAAAAAAAAAAATCTGTGAAGAAGATAAGCGATAAATTTTGATTTGAGTATTGTAACCTAGCGGTGAGATTTTCTGTTTATATTGTTAAGTCTTCTCTTTTGAGTTTGAATAATCTCAAACTACACGAAACATAAGCAGTGAAAGACATGTTTATACGGTTAACTTTAAGTTTATAGTTGGCAGCCATTTATGAAAAGGGTCTGTAGCCATCGTTAAAGTCTTTCGTGGTTAGGTCTTTCCACAAATATCACGTAAAACCGCCTTTTCTTTCCGGAAATTCTCCAAAAACTTTCTAGATATCACAAAAATTGTTCGTAAAACTCTATAAATATCTCCTATTTTTGTTTTAGAAATTAACCAGTTTTGAACCACTCAGGCCAAAATATTCTTGTAGAAGAAAAAGTAGAGAAAGAAGTTCAGACGCTTAGATGTTACCAGCATCTGTCATTTTGGAAAATTGCTGCTTTGGTGCTTTTAGTGATATGGAATACATTTTCCCAGTGGGAAAATCGCAGAACTTGAAATATCTTAATTTGTCCTAAACATCCCAAAATAAATTAGTTTGGGCGTCGCCGACATTTAACACGACACTTTATGATCGCCACACCAACGACTCTTTGCGTCTAAATATTACTGCTGTTGAAAAATACTGCTGGCTCAGATTCTCCAACGTCCCTCATTCGAGAAGAGCGTTCGACCGAGTTAGGCTTCAAGAAACAACATGATTTCTACTTTAGAAACTGAGGTACCAATAGAACAGACAAAGGTACTAGGTGGAGAGTTAGCTGAAACATGATCAGAGTTTTTTTTGTGAAACGTAAGGGTTAATTAATAAGTTTTACGATTCTAGAATGGCGAGTCCCACTCGGAGGCATCAACAGTTTGCCCGGAAGTTTCCAACAACGCCGACGAAGTAACTCCAAAAGACGAACAAGTCCACGAAAAATCAGCAAAAATTACGGACAAGACGACTAAAAAGGCTGAAGTCAAGCCAGCGAAAAGCAATAAGAAGCTAAAAGAAGAGGAGAAAAAGCTAAGTAAGTTACCACAGTGTAAACATTACAAGCTATTGACGGCAAATGCCTAGCGTGTGCAGACAAATTAGCTTGTAACTGTTTTAGCATTAAGCTTAATATTCTTATCGCCTTATGTAATCTTTCACCTTCTGTGTTTGAACAGATTCGTCGTGAATATAGCATATGTGAATCCAGAATTTAAGTTTTAAAATTTGCATGTGGATCTTTTTGTGTAGAACTGTTACTGAAATCATTTGAAGACTTGGATAATCCAGAAGGGAAACTCGACGCCCTTGGCAAAAAGCACTTACAATTGGTAAGAAAACTTCATGAGTAAGCTTAAGTAAAGTGTCATAACTAGCTTGAAACCTTTGAGATTCTAGAATAGTTTCCAACCTAAGCATTGTCCTACAAAGATATACTGGTTTCAGGATTCACTTTGTACGTAAACTTGTAAGCATACTCTTTCACTTTGACGAAACCCGCCTATAGTGACTCTAGAATAAATAAACTTACAGTAACCGAATTAACACTTACATGTCATTTCATCTTTTTGCTTCACCCTAAATATTTTCATTTTTCACTTTCGACTCGAATGTCCCAGACCAAGCAAATTGATTGGGTTTCTTCAATATTTTTTATTTCGTATAATTCGTGACTGCAGTTGATTTCATGTATGCTAGCGCTAGTTGTCTTTTACTGACAATACGATATCAACCACGGGTGGCGTTAACTACTGCAATCATTGATATTTGCATGATATTGAATTTTTATTTTAACTCTTCGTTCTACACTGCTCTCAGGGGGGTATGCTGAAAGTTGACTTCATGTTTTCTCAGGATCCTCTCAGATATTAGGTTGTTATATGATGTTGTGCACTAAACCCAAGTCAGCTGCATAATTTATGCACTCTGGAAAAATCCCACATCACTATAATAATTAGTTTGTATTGATATTAATCATAGTATCAGCTTTCAGTAGAGTAAACCTTTCACCGTCAACATTTAGACTATAATGTTATATCATATAAATTGAAACTTAATTTGAGTTAATTATTAATTGTCTGAACATGGTTTGGTGTACACATTGTAAACTTGCAAGTAATAATTTATCATCAAGCTTATTAATAATTATTAAGGTAAAGTGAGTGTGTTCTCAGGGTCCTAGAACTTTTATATTAGATACAAATTTTGTACCCTAAAAAACCTCCTGGTGTTCTATCATCTCTGAGCAATATGAACTCTGATATTAGCAGTCCAGTGAATTTCTCTACCCTGCTGATCAAGTACAAATAGAGATCTGTTTTACTCCTTGGATTGTTGGATGGTTGTGAATTATCACTGACATGTCCAAGTAACAAGTCGACCAGGGCACTTCACAGAGCTATATCATTTACATCATATGGCAGACTGGACCAAGATCTTGCACATTCCAAAGCATATTTTCACTGCCACATACACGTATGTTTGTGCCTGGAAGAAATGGCTTAGCCTCCCTATTTCTGTATCCCTGTCCCTATTTACCCATGCTGGGGATCACCAGGCTTCCACAGTACCATTTCAAAACACCAGCATTACTTTTTACTCTACTTTAGGCAGCAGAGCACAAAACCACTGAAGCGAGAAAGGATGAATTAGAGAAGAGACTGGAAAAGGTTACAAGATGACTTATATAATGTTTACAGATCAATAAACTACAACAAGTGTAATTGAATGCATATTTTTAATTTTTACTTATTCTTTTAATTGGGTTTTTCCCCCACATTTTGGGTGTGAGGGGTTCTTAAAAAATAAGGTCCCTCATTTGTTAGATCCCTACCCTACCCCTATGGCTTTAGCACATACTTTATTGCAGAGTATTCTGATAACAATATTAACTGAGTTCATGTACATGTATATGTGTAAGAATTGGGATAAAATAATTATATTCTATTTAACAATTTTTCCAGGTCGTGAAAGAACGTGATCAATTGCAGTCTGAGTTTAACAAAGCAAGTCTGGCAAAAAACAAGTTGGAGAGTCTCTGCCGGGAATTACAACGTCACAGCAAGCTTGTGAAGGTGCTAGGACTTGTCAGTAATAAATGTTCTCATTTAATAGCACCATTTAACCCTAAACCCCAGGGCCCTGATATGGAGTAAGTAATGACTTGATAATTTAAAAGTTTCAGCAGAAGGTTCTTTTTCAATCAGTGTGTAACTAACCTTCCTCGCTTCACAAAGGAAGTATATGGTCATTATTGCAATGGTCTTTTCAGTTTAGACTTTAAGAACTTGATCCATACTTTCAANCCCACTGTATGGCCAGCAAATGATAATTTAACTTACATGTATGTAAATTTAAATCTATTTGATTAGTATACACACGCTGTAAGATGATCTTCTGGAAAGCATACCTGTAGATGATTTCTTTAGATGTTGTCTAGGTGGCTTATCAGACCATTGTTCACTTCTCTGGTTTCAATAACATGAGAAATTATTAGGGGAGGGGGATGTAGCAGGGAGAGGGAAAGCAAGTCCATTAATTCTCCCTTCCTTTGTTTTGCCTGGTTGTATTCCATTAATTTTTGGCCGTGCCCATTTTCAATTTACATGATTGTGTAAGCCATAGGGTTTAGGATTAGAATGCCCTGCCAGTGTTAAGTGTCTTGCACAAGAATGCTACAGCACCCCAGGAAAGGTTTGAACTTAGACTCAATAATATAAGGCCACTGTGCCCCTCAACATTCCGCAATTGATTGAAGGGACTTTTAAATCTTGATTGAAACATGCCATGGAATCCCGATTTTTCAAACCCTTATTTTTTTTTAACCTCCCGATAACTCAAACCATAAGTGGTTCCCTCTCCTCAGTTGAACACTGTAATTTTACCCTCGATTTCTCGAACACTTTGATTTTTTTGAACCAATTTTTGTTTCCCTTGGAGGTTTGAAAAATCGGGATTCCACTATAACTTAAACAGGAGTGAAAAGTAATTATAACTTGCTGTCAGGGTAACTTTTGTTTACGTAATATTTTAGTTGATTAAGCAAGCTCAAGAATATAAGAAGCAGTGTGAGATCTTAACAAAACAGGAAAAAGAGATGAAATCCCAGGTAGGAGCTAATCAGAATTGGGTGTTTTAAGAATGTACACCATTTGTTTGATTTAAAGTCTGGTTTGTTGTGATGGGTAAGTTGAAGAACTCTATTGATGGTAACGGTGGGTAATTATGTACTGCAATTAGCCAATCAGAAGCCATGTCTACAATATCTTGGCTGAAGTTTGGTATAACAAAAACCTAACTGTACCTTTTTGTTATGCTTCGGTGGTATATCAGGCGAGTTTGGTTGAGCCATGGTTCATACTTTGGCTCAACTTCGTCTCTCTAAAATACGAACCATGGCTCAACCAAACTTACCTGATATGTTGCCCGAAGTGTACCCAAAAGAAATATCATCGTATCACAGTGCCGTTTATTTAGCAAATCTTTGTTCAGCACTCAAAGAGTTTCCGATTCTTATTATCCAATAAAAATTGAGCTTGAACTAGTACTCACGAGTGCTCTGAAAACAGTGACGTCAGCATGACCTAGTAATGAAACGTTATGTTGCTATGCAACTTCAGAATTGAATATCATAGATTATTTCAGATGGAACAATCGCCTCAATAATTACTAGTTCCCCGAGTTAAAACTGTTTTTTTTTTTTTACTTCTCACTGTATGTTTGTTTTAGTTACTGAAACTGTTTTCTTTTGTTTCAGCTGACAATGTATGCAGAGCGATTTGAAGAATTTCAGAAAACGCTCAACAAGAGCAATGAAGTGTTTTCGACTTTCAAGAAAGAAATGGACAAGGTCTGTGAATCTTTTTTGAAATATGATTTTCTGAGAAGAAAATTGTAGAGCTACGTATTACACGTTTTCACAAACCTGTACAGGATGAATTTCCGAGGTTTTTTTTTTAGTTTGCTCTAACAGAGAAACATGCTGCTTCTTGTTGTTTTGTTTTTTGTTCTTTTTTTGCTTGTATTTCTTCTTTTGATAAAATGTTGGTGACGACTGCACACCCATTGNATGCTGCTTCTTGTTGTTTTGTTTTTTGTTCTTTTTTTGCTTGTATTTCTTCTTTTGATAAAATGTTGGTCACGACTGCACACCCATTGTAACTCTACTGAAAGATTTGTAGAGTGGGGTGATGGGAAATCATTGTGGAAAAATGCTGATCTTATTTCGGACAATTTTGAAGCCTCGCCCCCGCAAAAGAGGAAACGTTGTTACGTAAACAGTGCTAGAGGACCAAAATAATTTCTTTGGAATGCAAACTGGGAAACATTTTCTGTGGAAGTAAAATACAGCTTAAATAATGGAAATTTTCATTTATTGTTCCTTAGAAAAAAAATTTTTTCCGCGCGCGCGTTAACGGTGAGACATTTAGGGAAAGATTTTCTGCAACTATGTCTCCTTGTTTACGAAGGCGTTTCCTAGACATCTTCCACGCACCTATCACTAATAGTGCACAATCAAGATGTTCATTTGTTGTAATTTTTTCTTATAGATGACAAAAACAATCAAAAAACTGGAAAAGGAAAAACTCTCGTGGAAAACGAAGTTCGATAACGGTAACCGTTCATTGCTGCAAATGGTAGAAGAGGTAGGTCACGCCATTTCAGACTACATCACGCTACATCTAAGGTCACGTTAACCGTGGTCTTTAAATCGTTCGAAACTTCTTTAAAATATTGGTCGAAAATAATTGGCAGTGTCCAAAATATGATTTTTGTTGAACGAAGGATCGTAGCTCTTAAGGTCGGCGCATACGAATTATATTTGTCTTAATGTTATTCAGTCATCTGGCATGAATTTTATGCAACTGACCATGTTACGGGGACAGACATTTTCCGAACAAAACGGGCATGTCACGCAAGGAAAACTGTCGCTGCAACATTTCCCCCGCTTCATGTCCCATGGTTTGTGGCGAGCTTTATTGATAAATGGTAAAGGTAAAGGTGAAGTATGCATACGAGCCAAGCTGGTGACCCATTAGGCCGGAGCTTATTCCGGTTTCCGTAGCATGAAGGAACTGGGAGTATTTCTACTCCCCCCTCAATGAGATGCTAGTCCATTGCAGGGCTACCCTCAGTGTTAAGTTCGCAAGTACCCATTTATACACCTGGGTGGCGAGAGGCACTGTGAAATTAACTGTCTTACCCAAGAATTCAACACAATGTCCCCGGCCAGGGCTCGATCCAGAGACGAGTACACCAACTATGAGGCCACCGCGCGTTCCTAATATAGGTAAATGAAAGAAGTGAAACTGCAGGGAGAAATAAAGGAGTAGTGTGGGTTTTTTTGTGTTTTGTTGTTGTTGTTGTTGTTGTTGTTGTTGTTGTTGTTGTTGTTTGCTTTTTCCTTACGTCTAATAGAATTCTTGCCGTTCCTCATCGCCGCTCTCTTTTTTATTCGCACTTTAATAGCGAGAAAAACAACAAAAAGAAATGACGGCTTTGCGATTGAAGAATGAAAAGCTTGAAAACCTTTGTCGGGCGCTGCACAAGGGAGCTAAAGTGACAGCCAGTGACATCGACCAGGTATGAGCGGACCAGTCTAATTTCATTTTTCCTTCTTCTGACCTATACTTTTCCTTTCCTAGAGAGCGTTTTCACTCACGCAGCCTGCGGCCTTGCAGATTTATTGGAACAAAAGAAAGTGTTTACATTTAACCAATCGAGCACTTTTTCCGTGTTAACATAGCCTCATCTAAACACTCGGAGGGTTGGGAAATTCGAGACAGTTGTGCAAACCCGAGATGTAGTCGAGGGTTTGCATAACTGTCTCGAATTTCCCAACCCTCCGAGTGTTTAGATGAGGCTATGTAAACGCGGAAAAAGGTGCTCTATTGGTTTTATAAAACAATTGTCAAAAACAAGCGCGAATCTAAAACGTCACAACCGTGTTTACGTACTCTTATCTAAATACACCTATCGACCAATGAGAGCGCGCGTAGTAGCTCCCACAGGATTGGTTAACATGGCCGCCTTTCATTGTGTTGTGACACCAACATGGCTGCCATGACGTCATGTGAAAACCCTCCATGTAACTGCAGAAAATCGTTTCACATGTCCCTGCCACGATTTTGATACTGTAGGCAACAGGACAAGTGTTTTAAAACTGAGGTAGTTAGAGCGCTCTTAGTTCTCCAGACCACTCGCTTCGTTGATGCAGTTTCTGGTTTTCAGGATGGATGAAAAATCTCTTATCAGAATTTTCGTAACGTTTGTAGTATTAATTGCTGTACATTTTTACTTGTTGTTTGTAGTTTGACGTGCCTTACAGGCTGGTTAATATACTGCTGCAAGACTCGTAGAAATGTACCGCCTGTTGAGATATTTTACGAGTCAAACCTCTATTTCCCAACACCGATGAACCCCATAATACAGGAACATTTAGTTAAGGATAGTTCAACTGGTCCCGGCAGAAAAACCTGAATTCATATAATATCTACCTCTGAAATAAGGACACCCTGTATAACTGTATTAGGGACAGTTCGCTTGGTCTTAGAGATACGAGAATTTTATAATAGATACCACAGTCTATAATCTAAACGACTTCATTACACTTAAAATAAGGAAACTCAGCACTTTCTCTTTGGTATCTATATCAAGAGGTTCATATTTGTATTCATTTTTCTCCGAAAAGGATGGTATTTAACTGTTTCTATTTATTCTGCCATTCTGGGATCAAGAAACACAAAAGTCTTCCTTCGTGGAAAATAGAATTTCCTCTCGTGACGTCAGGCATTCATCGAGTCAAATGGTGTCTAGTTACATGAAGTCATCTGTCAAGTTTGTACTTCACCGATGTCTGGGTAGATAACTAGATAACATCACACTGAGGTATCCGGGTTAGTGAATATGTCGGAAATAAAATGAATTTTGTGTCAACTTGGGAGCACGTACATGTAACTGCATTGTAGTCTTTCGATTGGTCTTACTTTTCCGGCAGTTTTTTGTCCATCCTGAGATAGAACATGATAATGATAGTGTTTATAATAGTAATTTATATTATTGATAATCTAAAGTACCTCGCTGATTTTATCGAGATTTTATATGCCTTGTTTGCTTTTATTTTTCTTTCCAGACCAAGGAAACCAGTTCTGCTCTTTCTAGTGAAGAAATCAAACAGTCACCATCTGGTGGAGAGAGAATAAACGGCAAAAACGAACACAACGCAAGTGCCGGAGAAGAAAAAACGTCAAGTGAACAAACACTTGAAAAGCCAGAGGATGTAAGAGACGAGGAAGACGAAAAGCAGAGCGAGGAACAGCTCATGGAAGATTCTGTTGGCCAGTCAAGTGGCGGGGTTCAAGAACCTGCTGCTGAAAATTCGAATCATAAATCTGACGATTCTGCAACCAGTTCCGAAACAAGCCCGACCGTTCTCTCTGATACACCGAGTAATGCCGAAGAAGTTCCGCTGGATTCCGAAAATATTGCAAGTGAGAGTGAGACGACTTCAGCTGTAAATGAAGAGACAAATGTTCCCGATCGTGCAAGTAGTTGATATTGCTTTGTAGCTATCAACAAACAACACTGATTGCAATGAATACATGGAAAATGGGAAATTTTCCGGCGACGATTAAAATGAAAGCAGTTTTATCCGTGTTAAATCTTGAAACCTTGTAATTTTTTAGTAGTTTTCTACTCGTCTCGAAAGACATTTTGCATTTTCAATAGTATTGTATTTTTAGTGAGAGTGGAAAATTTTTGTCTTATCGCACTAATAAAATAAAGAAGGAAATTGCTACATGCAGAGGGAACTAGATGGTCATTCGAAACGAATTTGGAAAACCCCGTCAATGCCCAAATATTTATAATTATAGAAGTTTACCGATTGAATCATGACAGAAGGGTCTGTTTATTACCTTTTTTTTAATCGTGTTAAAATCTCCAGAATTGTTCAACTTAAGGTTATTACATTTGCCTTGACATCCGCTGTTGTGTAATTTTGAAACAACTGGAAAGCATGGCGGTTTGGTTCGGGGATTATTACTAAGGACGAAGAAAGAATGGCTTTTGTTGACTCACTGACTAACAAACGTGACGTTGAGCTTCTTGTGTAAACGATGTACTTTTACGGGCTGTCATCCTGTGTTTGTGTACGGAACCATCGAAATATTACGGATAATCCATCAAACGTGGGAAAACAAAGCGCGTTCAGCTGTGTTGATCTTTTTAGTTACTGCTCGCCAGTTGCACAAAGACCAACCCTATGAAAACTTCATCAAGGTTCATTTTAAAAGTTGGGCAGTAACTGGACTCCCGGCGAAGGGAGTTTTGACTTTACATAAACTCTCGAATTAAACCTTAAATTTCCTTGGTGTTACCAAAAGAAAATGAAGAAAATCTCCATGCTGGAAGTGTTTACACTTCGACAGCAAGACTATTTGAACTGCGGCAACGATAATATCAGTTGCATAGACAACTATTTCCCTAAAAAGTTTATTTTGGCTTGATTGATTTCCCGTTTGCGACAAAGTCACCGCATCTTCTTTAGACAGTTCCTTTAATTTTGATGACGGATTGAGATTATGAGATGGTATTCGAGTGGGGAACTTTTCTGGAAATCGCTTATGAATCCGTCACCTGTATAAATAGTGACTAATTAGGAATTTCCTTGGCGCAAAAATGAATTTCATAATCGGAAACATTTTTGACACAGTTTTATCAAGCGTTCCAAGCAAACCACCGCTACTACCAGCGAAGCACGGCAATGAATCTTAACTTTTCGTTGAATCTTTCTTTTTCGTCGCTAGAGAGCAATGGTAGTTTTTCAACGCCGAGCTCTCAGGTGGACCAAGTGGGGTTCAATTCCACGGCAGCGCTGATGTCTTTTGTTATTTTCCTGGCTTTGTTCGGTAATGGTTTCGTGATTTTAGCGTTCTATCGCTTTCACCAGCTCCGTACAATCACAAACTATTTTGTTGTGTCTCTGGCGGTGGCCGATATTCTCGTGGCTTCGCTCTCCATGCCTTGCTGGATGTTCATTCGTCTCTCAGCCCTATCGCAGATTCCCAGAGATAAAAAGCTGGACAAGGTGCTTTACTATTCGTGGCAGTATGTGGATATTCTGTGCAGTACAGCGTCCATTGTGAATCTTTGCATGATCAGCGTTGACAGGCACTTGGCAATCAACTCGCCTCTAACCTATCACAGCCGAATGACTCCAAAGCGAGCCAAAGGTTCAATTGCCTTTGCTTGGCTATTCGCCTTCTTTTGTGCAAGTCTATCGATTGTGACAGTGATCGGGAAGCTCATGCCGACAGCGGGAAAAGTTTACGCCATTTTCATCTCCTTTGCGGCTTTCTTTATTCCTCTACTTATTCTAATCGGCGTTTACAGTAAAATTGCCTACGTTGCCTTACGCCAGGTTCGAACAATCTGCGCCGCCAGTGCAGGAATTGACCACGGAGTTCAGAGGGAACACAACATGACTTTCCGACGCGAGCTCAGGGTAACGAAGATGTTGGGATTGGTAGTAGGGGCATTTGTTCTGTGTTGGGGACCGTTCTTTTCAATTGTTGTTCTGTATGCCGTTTGTTCAAGCTGTCCCAATGACTACGGTTGGGTTAATACCAGCAAATGGCTTCATTACGCCAATAGCACCCTTAACCCCCTCGTCTACATGCTCTTCACACGCACATTCCGAAG